CATTTTTATTTTTCGAGTTTGTTCTATGAATTCTTACTTTAATTGGATTTGTTTTGATATTGTTTTAAACTTGTTATAGAAGGTTGCAATTATTATATTACAGAGGAATTACTTTGCTTTTATCCCAATTTAATAGTAAATTTAGATGCTTTAAGTTTATTCTACTTCAATCCTGCAGCTATAGTGCAGGGCGGCTTTAAAATTTTTTTTAATTCTAAGTTTTAGCCTATTTTTATAGTTCTTTATATATATATATATAATTTTTTAGATATGCATTATCATTATCTTGTTCAGTTGTATAGGTAAGCTGAAACTATTAGCATGGAAAAAAGAACTATTACTGACGTATATTGTTAACAAATAAGTAAACGTGATGTTTAGAACTTAAAATTGAATTTTTATACGGAATTTTATAAAGTATAACGTCTTAGAATTCCATAGATACTATGAGATTGCGATATCAATTATGATATTCACGTTCTAAGTTATAAAATTTTGATTTTGTTTTGTTTAGATTGTTTATGTCAATTAATTTTTTAAATCGTTTGAAAAAAAAGTATTATAGAACAAACACAATGAATACTCTTTGAGGCAAACATTCGTTTTCAAACATAAAATTCTGTTTATACTGTAAAGAAGAACTTTTCTTCGTTAAAACAATTTCATGTGCTCTCAGTAGTTTACATTTATTTAACTTCAGTAAACTTTTGTGTTGCTTGTTTTCATTTCTTCTGGATAATTCTCGAAGATGGGTATTTTTAAGCGAAATATTTTGAAAAGTAGTGCTGAAATTTTTCACGTTGCTCATAATTACCTTTTTAGTTAATAGAGCATATAAGCTGACCTACATATAGGTGATCAAAATATTAAACAAAGAGATCATTAAAACACGTAATCTGCGATCGCATAATTGCTAATTACAATTTTTATTTAAACCTAAGAAATTATTGCTTTTGATTATGAATTAATTTATTCAGATACATTAGATTAACATAAACGAATTTTGTGATAAATTAAAAAAATAAGTAGCAAAAAGTAACACAAAGATAATATGCAGTAGTAGAAAATTCGCAAAATAGCATAGATATAAATTTTAGTAGCACAACTATGTCAAAAGTAGCAAATATGCGAAAACTCGCACGATTCGGCACTGCAGTTCAAGTTTCATTTCAGAATTCTCACATTTCCTCAATCTCCAAGACTGACGAACAAATTTTGATGAAATTTAGTATGGACATAAGATGATATAATGCAAAAAATATACCATGCAACAGTCATGGAACACACACATGATTTTACGTAAGCCTCATCGCAGCAGGAAGATTATAACAGAAGTTGGAAGATTTAGCTAAAAGCGAAGCTCATAGAGAGTATGGTCCTCTCTAACAGTCTTGCAGTTCTCACCACATAACATCATACTAGAAATGATGCAGTATAAGAGTACTTGTAGCAATCGTTCCTTCTCTTGCAGAAACGCTATTTTCAATTCCTAAAGCTCTCTGGAAGAACCGGCGAGTTTCGGTTGAAAAGCCCTTCAAAATATGTCTCAGACGTGTTAGACATGATTTAGTTCTGAAATTCTGGGTAGTCAGTCTATCAGGTTATTACTCTAACTTTCCAGAAAATCATCCACCAGCTTAGCCCTATGTGGAGGAAATTTTGTCGTCCATAAATATGAACTGAAGGCCAATTGCATTCCTAAGAAAGCGAACATAGGGCTCTAAGATCTCTCCTTTATATTTCGTAGCAGTTACAGAGGCTCCGTTAAAGACGGTAAGATCTGGTCGCCCGTCTAAGCTGATGCTTCCCAGAATATCAAACCTTCGGTGCCATTCTGATCCTTTTCTTGGATGTCAGAGGGAGTTAGCGGGTTCTTGGTTCTCTACAGAAGAAAATACATCGAGAATTAATGGTTAGGCTGAATCGGAACTCGTCTATGAAGAAAATAGGCATCTACTAATGCTTGTTCCAAAGTTGATGTTCTCTGCACCATGGTAAACGGATGGGATCTCGTGAACGCAGAAGTGAGCGGGTTACAAATACCTTCTTGAAACCAGACGAGTTCTTAGAACCCTTTAATAAAGTTTATGTTTAATTTATCCTCGGAAAGATGACCATAACACAACCACTTACACTTTACTTGAAGAACGACATTCTACTTTTGCTTTTAAAACTTCATCATCCCATGGCATAGAAAAGCTTGATAATTCATAAATAACGGTCTACCAATCATCAATAAATGAAGATACTAGCTTCACGATAACGTGATTTTATTTATTACACACATACACAAATATAATAGGTAAATTTTACATATTAGTACAACGGCAGAATGTGCCGGTGAAACTGAGTAGCGTCTCCGTTCTGCGGGCCTTACGCTTCACGCAACGCACGCGCAATACACATTTTTTCAGCACGCAACGTTCGTCGATTGGCGACGAACGTTGCGATTGGCGACGTCGAGTGGCGACGTCGATTGGCGACGAATCTAGACTTTTTTATCCATATACAAAACATAGATGTTAAAAAGTATTCATATTCCAAAAGATAGATATTCAGTACTGTTTACATTAAGAATTACTGATTTGTTATTCAGCTAAACCCAGAAATGTGGAATTTATTTACTCGGGACTTAAAAGCTTATGCGGAAGCCTACGATGTTCTTTCTTCAAAATAGACGTTCTTTGTTGACGTGTTGATTTTTTTTTTGAATTGTTTTTTTGAATTAATACTGTAGGTTTCTGTAACGCTTCACTTAACCTTATTTAATATTTATTTCCGAATGCATTTTTGTTTGATATTCCATCCTACTGTTATAAAATTTCTTTTGAAATTTCTTTGAATTCATATTTTTGGCAAAAGCATCTCTCATCTGAATAATTGTTGAGTGCTTTGCTATAATCAATTAATTGGAACTCATTTTTCAATTTTTTTCTAATGCAGTTTTTATATCTATCTTTATATCTATATTTTCTTCTATATTATGTATCTATATTTTCTTCTTGTTGATTGAAACACGTTCACTTTATTCTTCATTGATCCTGTAATGGCTAGCTTACCATAATATTTTTTGCTCAAACCAGAAGAATTTTGAGAAAATACTCGCACAGAAAATAAAACCTGCAAAGCAACTACTAAGAAAAAAGGAAAATAAAGAAGGATTGAAAAGCCTAAATAAAGAAGTTCTTAACAAAAAATAACAATGAGTTAAAATAAATTTTTAGTAACTCAATATATTATTCATTAGTATTTACCATTAGTGTCAAGTGTTTTTATCACTAGTGTGAACTTTGTTATTTTTAACAGTATCGAAAAAATTCACTGCAATTTAGATGGCTATTAATTTTGCAGATTAGTAAAGCTTTTACTGTTGATTCAGCTAGTTTACCTCTTTCTTCAAACAATATTTTTATGATGCTCCATAATTGACAATATTCTTTTGATTGCTGCCAGTGTGTACCGCATGCTTGAAAATATATTCTATCATTTAATGGCACTGTGTAATGAAATGTGTTTTCTTTGAAATGACTGAAATTTTGCATCCACTTGTCTTCACAATTTTTTCTAATTTCATTGACAATATCAGTTGCTTTTGTACTTTCCATAATCAACATAGCTTTGTTAAATAATGTGAGTTGCCCTTGTACAAACCATAAATAGTTTATTTCAATACAATTTTTATCATCCCTTCAAAATGCTCTTGTGGAATAAAATTTCAAGTATTCTGTCAACAGCTAGAAGTAGCGAAAGAAAATGAGTGTTGTTTATGTTGAAGAACTTTTTAGTCTATATATACAAATTCAAAAAATCTTTTAGTTTAGTAACTCAAATTCATAAATAATAATCGCAATAAATATAAGACACAAGTAAACTGGTAAGTCAGGGCTAACTCTAGCGGTGACAATATTTAACGGAACAACATTAATCGGCAATCATATGATACATCGCCAATAGTGTATAACAAATGCCGGCCTATTCAAAGCCCCCTGAAGATAACCCCTGAAGGCTCTTGAATATTCAAAGCCCCCTCAAGCCTCTATTTCAGGCGGCTTTGGCCTATTACGCTAGCGAATCATATTACTGCGCATGCGTGAAGCGTTAGCCCCGCAGAACGGAGACGCTACTGTGAAACTGTACACACCTCTCCTTTCCTACGCTGCTCTCCACTGCCAATTTTGGCGAAGTTCTTTCACTGGTGCTTCTGCGCCAAAGTCCACATTTGGCGAAGTTCGGACACTTGGCGTTTCTATCAGTTTTTTTAAATCTTACACCTTTGTTCACCTTTTCGGGGATGCAGCTGGCTCTCATTTTCTTTTTATGGTCGATAACGTTGGTTTACATAAGGAACATCTAATGCATAATTTTCTGAAAAGGGAGGTTAGTACTTGGGTGGATTCGCAAGCCAGATTTCCAAACCTAAATCCCATAGAACACATCTGGGAAGCTCTTGGGAGGGCAACTGAAAATTGTCTTCTTTATCCCAGAACTCTCCAAAACCTGAAAACGGCATAATTACAAGAATTGGACCAACTACTACAGGGACACATAGACTTCTTCATTTCCAGTAGGAAGTCCCATTGTGACAGCTGTACGAAGACCCTGACCTCTGTTAGCCTCCTTGCTTGTTTGATACTGCAACCACTGTTTTAGCCTTCCCAAAGCCGAAGAGCCTTACGCAGATACGCTTGTGTACCACGAATGTTGTACAGTGCATATTATTTTGCATTATATCAGCATATGTCCAAACCAAATTTCATTAAAATTTGTCCATTAGTTCTGCTGATAATTGGCCAAAAGTTAAAATTATCTTAATCTTTGATAGCAAAGTAGCTCTAGAGCATTTCAGTTGAAAATTGAATGAATGCGTAGGGATTTGAGTGGAAGCTCTGCATCTGCTTATGTATTTAAAGCAACCACAACATGTTAAAGCAAATTTCATATTTAATATAATAATAATCATTTGATATAGGCTCTAATCTCACATGACTTTATTTATTTAGGATATTAAATTCGCCCGAAGACGAAGGAATAGGGATTTGGAAAGAACCGACTCATTTCTGGAAAAGTTTTGTAATGGGCCAAAGCCAATGCAGTTGACGGATGAAAAAATACCAACAGATTGTTTAGGAAGGTAAGGGAGACCAAACAAGTTAAGTGAACTGTACCATTTTACATAAACGTGAGAAAGACGAGAACGTTTATGATATTTTTTAAATTGAGTTAGCTCCTGAATTCTTTAACACTGTTCGAAATCAATGCCTAAATTTTGCTGACAATGTTTACCAAAATATTGCTTTTTCTGATCTAATTATGTCCACATCTGTTTGAATTTTGAATGTTTGTTGTTGTTGTTAGCATAAAGTTTTCCCGGGAACTAAGTAAAAAGTTCGATTTCTAGCGTAATATTAAAATGAAATCTAGTCAGTAATAGGTAACAAACCAAGATTATGACATTCGAATTTCAGACAAAATTGCGATTTGGTATCAAGTATGTTAGAACTATAATTTTCCAAGAATTATTTCTGCGTTTTTTTGCCACTTCTTTATAGAAACTTCTTCAGATATGCCCTCATGATAAAATAATTTCGAGAATCAATGAATTCATAAGTTTCTTAACTGAAATTGCAATATTCACTGAAAATACATTAACGGTTTACGCTATTCGTTCATTCTTAAACTAATGAAATAGCTTTTTCAAAATACTACTTAAAAGCTACTGCTGAAGAACGGTCGAAAATTAGACAATAAGTAAAAAGTAAGAGATGAAAATACTTAATATGATATCTGTCATTTGTGAACAGCAAATCTAAAGCGTTGAAAGAATGAAAACTGATAACGAAATAGTAATAATAAAACGTTACATATGACAGTTTTCATAATGTGCCATAGAAAAATGAATAAAAGTAAAATTTACTCAAAATTAGAGAGACACTGGGAACTTAATGTGAAAATTTTCTTGATTATGCAGGTCAACACATATGATATTGATTACACTTCTGTCTCTGAATTCAAATATGCAGTCAAGAATTTTCCTATTGCGCAAGGAATTTTTGTGACATATAATAAATTTTTTTTAAGTATAGAAACGAGTATCTAGGAAAGAAATCATCTACGGTTTTCTGCAGTTTTTAGAATGAGGAGCATGTCTCTTACAAGTTCGGCAGACATCAGCAAGCACAATAGGACTATAGCGGCAGTGGTACACTTTTATGAACACAAAAAATGTTTAGTAAAAGCATTCAGCATGTTTATCGATTAACAGCACACCTCTGATGATAGCAGGCAAGAAATCTAGGCTATAACGCAAAGATGAAAATTTTAAAGCCAAATCGCATCTCATAATTTCTTCAAATGGTCATCCATTATTTTCTATAGTTTTTCAAACCTTTTTGAGAAATTCCCTAGTCAAATTTCTGATTCTTAAATAATTCCCTAATTTATGATTCCTTCAAAATAGTTTGCCTGATTTCACTGGACTTTAAATTAGAAAATTCGGGGATATACGATTCTCTTTAGGTGTACATTTGTATCCATTGCTTTAAACCCTAGCTTAATATGCATTGAAGGGAGAATGTTTTTTCATGTTGCTTAAGTCCTTTGTTAACCCTTTCCGGCATGCTACCTCTTAAAATTGGAGTTTTGACTTAAAAAAGGGGGTAGGCAGTCTAATTAGGCCTAGAGGAGCACTTAAGTAAAATTTTGTGAAGATAGCATTTATCGTTTTAATTCTATGGGTGTGCCCAAAGTCGGCACACTGATTGAATAGAGCTTCGAAAAGAGTCCTGAAATGAGCATTGTTGTCAATGAACTGACCGTTGAGATGCGGAGAAACAAAAAATACAGACTCTCAGTTGTCATAGATTATCGGTGAGCCCGGTCTGGGCACACCCAGGGTTCGCCGTTTGATTTAAGGCAAGATTTCAAGGTAAAAATTTAAAACTAACATAGAATAAAGAGATTAGCATACAGCCAAAAAGATAACATAGACATTTCTTTCAAACAATTCCTTTTATACCCTAAAAAAAATCGGGAAGATTTCTTTGAAAAATGAGGGTCTTAAAAAACTAAATATGGCTAAAATATATGGACTGGTCTGTGTTGAGCTGCCATCTATTATAAATAAAGAAGGTTCAGAGTAACCTATAGTAACCTATAAATCCTCTTTCGTTCAATTTTTCTGTGCGTACAGAAAGAAATTTTTAGGTGTGTCCAGACCGAACACACTGTGCCGCAAAGGGTTAACGACATTAAACCTTCTTGCGAATGGTAATGCTTTTTTTGTAAATGTTTTCGGATGTAATGATTTTACCTGCCTGTGCCATTTCATCTGCAAACGAAATCGTACTATTTTGCGTAGCCTATCTGAAGTTCAAAGAGAATAGCAACTATTTTTTATTCATCTCAAATATTCGACTTGCATTTTTCTGCTGGAATTCATCTAAGAAGATTTCCAAGCTTTGCAGGTTTCTTTTCTTTTGGTATCGAATCTAAGTCTTACATGCTAACTCTTTACAAATGTAGCAGGAAAAAAATACAGATTAGAACAAAATGCTAAAAAAAGATTATAAACAACAGGAACTGGACTAACGCAATTAAATCTTCGTTACTAAAATTTCGAAGTACAGGTATAACCTTCTTCTTTCAAATATGGGAAGGAAAATGTCGAAACGGAAATATGCTTAGGAAAACAATAGAAAGAATTTCGAGAATTTTTCACTAAATGGCAGAAAACAAAGTTTTAGCATCTGTTGACCAAAATTTGAAAGAAAAGGTCATTAACTGCAACCGATAGAATTTTATTCCAGTAAACGCTTGAAGAAATCTAATTCATTAACCAAAAAAACATTTTGAATAATTTTCGCTGCAGAAAAATGAAAATGTGATTTTTTTTACGAGCAATGAAAGGCAGTAGATAATTTATGAATTTCTTGAATTTCTTTTCTCGGAACACGTTTCTCATGTTCTCTAGTGCAGCATTTCTCGTTTAGCTTATGTTTATTAAACCACATCACCAAAGATTACGGTAAGTAACCCAGGTATTCAGATATGGAACAGAGATTTTGAGGGTCGAAATATGAATTTTATTAGTAGGAAGAAAAAGGCACAAAATTTCGTAAAATATGGGAAATTTTATAACTAATCCATGAAAAGAATGAAATAAGTATTGTATTCTTTTGATTCATCAAAGCGAAGGAATATGCTCTGATGAGATGGAAAATTTCTAGTCACTTAGTCAATAACATGAGATGCGAAACTTTTGTCAGTTGCAACAACTCTTTAGTAGTTGACCAACAGCTCACTTTGAGTGCTCGAAAACGAAAGACTCCAATAAAGCTAATTTTTATTCAGAAGAAGATAGTATTTGAAGTGCAGAGGAAAGCAAACTGATGAAGGTTTACGATACACGTAAGTCCTGAAGTTAGATTTATTACACCCAAAGACACCCAAGGATTAAGGACACCCAAGGAAATTAGAAATTTCGAGTTCCAAAGTGAACTTAATAACAAGATCAACTGAACTCATGAGTGAAAGAACTTTAGTTAAATATACTTTATTACCATCAAACAGAAGAAAAGCAATATAAGAGACCAAAGTGGGAAATTTAGTTTTTTAAATAATTTGGATTCATTATTGCCCATGATGGCAATCCAGCCAACTTTGAACATATTTAAGAACTCCTTTTTCATTTTTATATTAAAATTCCAGAAAACTTAAAACAATAACTTAAATATAGTAACAAAAAAAACGAGGATTGGCATACTCATGATGTATACAGAAAGACAGGCATTCACCTGCGTTCTCGCAATTCAAATAGACGCTATAACAGGCATCAGTACGCTATTTTTAATTATAAAAGAACAATGCAAATACTTAGCGATCAATACTTTGATGCAGAACGTTTGAATTTTATTTTGCTTTGTTCCGCTGCATGCCTACTTTCTTGAAGCGAAGAAAGTATAATTAATTGCGAGATACTAGATTTGGGAGTGAAATAAAGGAATTTCAACTAAGATTAATGATGCATTTTTGTAAGTTTAAATAACTTTTTTGTATGATATGTTTTTATCTATATCGAAGGACAATTTCTAACTATAATTCTTTGTAGGACATTAGTTGTTGATCCTTCTGAGAATTTCCATTACCGATGGTTATCTATTATTTCAATGGCCTTGGTCTACAATGTCGTTATGATAGTTGGACGTAGTGTCTTTTGGGAATTGCAAAATCTGTCTCCAATCACATGGTACTGCTTGGATTACTTATGCGATGCAATCTACCTCTTCGATATGATAATTCATGCAAGAACAGGTAATTGACGAATATAATTTTTATTTCATCAAACATGTTTGATATTTTATGTTCTATTCATGGCTTTTAATAGCATGGATGTAATTTTAAAGTTTTCTTATGTCCTTGAATCTTATATTATACACTTCTCTTTACTTTTTTCTTCTTGAGATCTAGCTTTTATGAAACATTTACTTTTTTAAATTTATGAATTTCTTATGAATAAGAAGAACATAAAATTGAACGATATATGATTGTATGTTATTATATGCACAAATGTATGATTGTATACAAATACACATGTATCTCTCAGCAGAGTCGGTTTAAGTAATTTCTGGTTAAGTAATTTTCTTAAGTACGCTGGAATATGTGGCATACGCTGGAATATATGGCGTACGCTGGAATATGTTTGCCTCCTTTGATATCGCATTTTCTGTAGTTGTTTAGATTATTACATATATCAACACTAATAATTTCATTTCAAAATTAAAAATTACAGGCATTTATATAATATATTTTGCATAATAAATATTTTCAAAATCATGTAGTTTTCCGTATCTAAATAGAATTCAAGCGTAGTAAACGTCTGTAGTGCAACATTTTCTTCTTCTAAAAATTACGCTCATCCCTGTTGCAGAAGAAAACTGCTCTTTTAAATTTCTTCATTTGGTTTCACTGAAATGAGCATCACTCCTAAAGATGCACTCAAATCGTTTGCTTTTGTTTTGGCTCTTTCAACTCTATTTACTTGGACTCTTCAATACCTCATAGTATCAACATCGTAAGTTACATTGTACTGTCCAACTACATGGCTTCTGATGAATTATGTTGTTGGCATGAATAAATATATTGTACTAGATCACACTGTATAAAGAATAATTAAATATTATGATTTCTTTTAATAAACTAGATGCCTCGCGGAACCGGATGGGGGTCCTTTTTAAATTTTGCTTTGATTTCTTCTAAGACATATAATATTATGTTCTTAACTTCGTACTTAAGATGAATTCCACATTTAATTACGTATTATTCTGCAATTAAATTTCATATTTAGGAACTTAAAATACTGGCAAATATTAAAGCCATTAGGAGAACTTAAAATACTGGCTAGCAGAAAGTCTTGTTGAAAAGTTTGGTGGCAGTAAAGAGGGCTGTGAGTCCATCGGATTCGTCTTCCGAGATGTTCTGCATACAAATTGGGACAGAACTGCCATCTTCCTCATGGATGTAGTGCGATCGTTCCCTGTGGTGCACTCTGGACATCTTTCTCGTGACAAAATGAGCGATGGGTATTTGCCAATTCAAACGAATGCATTAAGCTGCAAGTGCCTGGCCATGAGAAGAAACAACAAATGCTAGTTCTCGTTTCCTAGCTAGTTTCAACTCATCACGAAACGCCATCTTGAGGCATATCTCCACATCGTTTCATCTTATGATATATGCTTATGAATTCATTGTCAGTTGATGTCAGACTGTTAGTGTTCTTCCCTTCTTCAATACATCTTAACCATATCTTTTATCGTAATGTGTACTGTCAAGACCATTAAATGATTCGCCACTGGTAAGAAAGGGCAGCAGATTAGTTAACAATGAGAGAATTCGCGAATATTATTGTCTGAGGATTTATTTATTTGACTAATAGTTGATTCTGAGTTAAAGCAACTTTCTTGTCACTCTCCTTTTCACTCTCGCTTTTCATGCAAAAATGTAAATTAGATAGCGCGCATTTATTGAGATTAAGGGAGGAAGAAGTGCTACTTAAGCGAAGGTTTCGCAAGTTGTTTTTACAATAGGAGAGAGGATTAGAGAGTTTTTCAGGGTTTTCGCTTTGACGTCAGCTACGCAAGAATATCTTGTGTTTAAATGTAAAGATCGACGCTTGTTCTCGTGCTTGGTTGGATTTAGGAGAGGTGACCAATGCGACTGCCTGCCGAGCTGCCGCCCTTGTAGCGTGTGCAGTGCTTTGCACTCGTTTTCTGCTTCCGCACTGTTTTGATTCATGACATCATGGAAAGGTTCCTAGACTTTCTCGGAGCTGAAATCACCAACTCGAGCTACTTAATGATTTACGAAGCTACTTTACTGAGACTGAATCCCGCGATCTAATGTTTTTACGGAGATTCAAAGCGTTCAGTGACCAAGAGTTCCTAAAAATGATTGCTGAGCGGCTCTCCACCACGACTGCAGATATTAGCTCTTCGAAAGGGGAAATTACCTCTTCAAAAGGAGAAACTACGCATGATTTTCCCCCACTGCCTCCCACTAAAGCTAAAATCGGGAGCGCTGAAAGCCCGGTAAATTCTGATGATAACAATAACAAAGTATAAAGCCTTTGAGGACTCTTCAGGGGAATGCAGCGGTCCTAGAAGAATCTTTACATGCAAAACCCGTAAGCCTGTCTGAAAACCTGTCACGCAATCAACCAAGGAATTTTCTGTTTCGCCAGATGTCGATCCGCCGGCAAATAATCAAAGAAAACTGAGAATATGGATGTTTCCCATACTAATGACGCATTGTGCAGATTGCATGCAGTCTCCACCTGCATCGAACAGGAGACCAGATGAACGTAAACCTCTACCAATCATCTTTAAAGTTCAGAGAAAAAATTGGAATCGTATGCGCACATTGTCACGCCATAATTTTACTTGGAGTCTTGATTATTACGGTCACCAAATTAAAGATAGTTTTAAAATTCAAGTAAAACTGCCCTCCATCTATCGGCAAATTATTAAGGTTTTCAATGACGAAAGCATCTACTACCTAAGTAGCATCTACTACTTATGAACTTCCAGAGGCCAAATTTGTGAAGGCCTGTCAGAGGCTTTCCATAAAGGATTTATCTTTCCAGAGAATATCACTGAGGATCTGGTTTCCCGAGGATACTGTGTCATTCATGTCAATCAACTCACCCGACGAAGAAATGATGATAAAATACATCTTCCACTGTTCCTAGTCACGCTCGACCCTGCCGAAAGAAGTAAAGATATATACCATGAAAGGTTCATTCTAGGCATGAAGAGCCAAGTTGAACGTTATAGAAGACGTGCAGGGCCCTTGCAGTGCTTCCACTGTCACCACGCACAAGCTAATTGGGATCATGAACCACGATGCGTTAAGTGGTACGCATGAATCTTTTAAATGTACCAAAACTAAAGAACAGCCCAATTGTGCAGATTGCATGCAAGTTTGCCACACAGCCAATCATCGTGGCTGTGAAAAATTTCCGCGTCAAAAACTGCTGCATTGACCAAGCCCTATGCTGATAGAGTTGTAATCATCAAATTGTACGCACAAACACTCAGCAATGGTTTACCTCAAGAAACACAGAAGCCAAACAAGTACTTAATGACCTCAAAATGCTTGTCTGGATAGTAAAAAAAATTGGCATCCCTCTGCTTTTTCAAGCATTTCAAATCAGGTAACAATTATTCTGCTGATGACTCTAATCCTGTAAGCACAATTAATGGATAAATACCTTCACTCAAATACACCCATTATATTCGCAGTCTGGAATATAAATGGCCTCCAAAACATGTTATTAGAGCTGCAAAATTTCTTTATTGAACATGATAATGATATAGGAATTGTTTCCGAAGCACTTGCGCAGGCATGCCATAAACTAAGTATTTCTAATTAATGTTACTGTAGATGTGATCGCACCAACCACAGTGATGGTGTCACGATTTATATAAAAAGATGTTTTCAATCATATCTTAGCAAGAAAAGTACATATTTTAATTGTGAGCTAGTGACTGTGTACATCTCCTTACCTGTTTATAAAGACATTTATTTTTCTGCCTTTTACAGTCCACCTCAAAACAGACTGAATGGCTCTATTTAAAATGCAATACTTCCCCAGGACATTCCCATCATCATTGCGGGAGATTTTAATGCGAATCAATCTGCAAGAAGTTGTAGACGTACTAATGAAAATGGTAATGTACTTTACAACTATATTCTGAATAATCCGGTTGCTCTGCGTGCATCGATCGAATATATATATAGGCCGAATAATATTCAATATTCGAATAAACTGGATATTGTATTGTCTTCCACCACCATCCCGATTGCACTAGAAGTCATGCATGAGGTGACTTCAGATCATTGCTGTCTTGGGCGTCTCGAAACCAGTTCACTCTAACACCAGAAGGATCACTAACTGGATCCTATTTGAAAATCGTATGAAAGATCGAATACTTAATTTTCAAGATCTAAAAACAATTAATGGAATTGACGCCGCTTTGTCATCTCTCACTGATACCATTCAGGAAGCTATTTCAAGTGCGAGTGAAACTCTCTCCACCAGTGTTAAGAATCTCAGATTCCCAAAAAATATCCATTGCATGGTGCGTTATCGCAATAAACTGAGGAAGACATATCATCTAACCTGGGAACCAGAGATCAAGCAGAAAATTAACTGTTTAAAAAAGGAGATGCATAAATTAATTAAAATGAATAGAAAGGAATTATGGGCTGATAAATTCCAAAATTTGGAGCTTCACAATGGCTCCTTTTGGAAATTGATCAAAAATCTTAAAGCATCTTACACAAGTAATCGGCCGCTTTTCAGAACCAAGTAGCGACAGGCAATCAAGAATAAACGGATTTATTTGCGGAACACTTACAACTATAATTCACGCCAAATGAATGGCCGAATAATAAAGATTTTGAATTGAAAACACTTTTCCATTTACGGGACTGGCTAAATTAGCCAAATGCACATAACTTAATTAGTTTAACTACCCCCTTTGAAGTGTTGAATATCATCAAAAAACTTAAAAGAGGCTCCTGGCTTAGATGGGATCCCTAGCAAAGCCATCAGAAATCTACCCAGAAATATATGCAAAATTTCAGCATTTTTAAAACAATTTTCCAAAACAGTGGAAAGAGCCTAAAATTAGTATGATAATGAAACCGGGTAAGAGTCATGTGCAACTTGGCAGTAATAGACCGATCAACCTCTTGTCTGGTCTAAGTAAAGTGTTTGAACGTGCAATACTGTAAAGAATGAAACCTTACTTCAAACTACTTCCTGCTTAACAGTTTGGTTTTCGTGCACATCTATCCACCACAAAACAGCTTGTAAGGTTAGCAGATTTCGCAGGGGCAGCCCTGCACTCCAAAATGAATGTTACTATAAACATGCTGGACGTGGCGAAAGCCTTCGGCTGAGTCTGGCAAGAGAGATTCATTGCCAAGCTCATTAATCTCCAATCAGATCAAAAACTTATCCTGCTCATCCATTCATTCATCTCGAATAGAACCTACAGAACCTTCGTCGGAGATGCTTAATCATCTTCCAAAAAAATCCTAAATGGAGTGTACCAAGATTTTGTAATTGGTCCTGTAATCTATCTGTTTTATGTATCAGACTTCTCTAGGGTGAAACTTAACAACAATGCAATCCTAGTCTGTTATGTGGATGATACCGCCTTGGCGGTAAAATCATCCAACGTCAGTCACGCCATTAAAATGCTGCAAACCATCATTCCGAGTATTGAAGAGTGGTGTAGCTACTCGAAAATATGTATATTAACGCCCAAAAGTCACAGCTCCTGCTTGTTAGGCAGAAAAAGCGGAATTTAAAGCCAAAGAAAAATCTCTTCCTTTTCAACGAGACGTGCCCATTGTTCCAAAGGCTTATTACCTGCGAATCATCATTAATGACAAACTCACGTGGACACATCACATTGATCACGTAAGAAACAAAGCATTAAGTCATGAAGTACCTACTTCCCATCACAGGAAAATACTCAAAGCTTGTACTTTCAAAGAAAAAGCTCATCCACACTTAGATGTCCTCTTGGACCCATCGAACAAGTAATCACCCTACTTCAAACGCCCGCTGAGGTAAATACGTCTAGATAGTCGGAAAACAACATTCATTTAGCATGTTAATCGAACCTGGAACCTAGGCTGATTTCACAGCGTGTTCTGCCTACTTGTGGCCACGTTGTTATCGTGATTAAATAGCGATTTAATTATGTGGCGTTGAGTGCTTCCAGCCATTAGGCTTGCCTCACCGGTTTCTAGGAGCCGGAGCCTTCCTGAGCGTTTACTTTATCCTGTGAGCTGTTAGGCTAGTCTAAATTACATTAAAGTTCAACATTAAGAAAAGCCAAGAGTTTTGGCTTATGTAAATCCAAGTGGGATCAACTTTTAAATTATTTGTGATCAACAAAAGGGCTATTTACATCGTTCGCTTGATTTAGTCGACCTACAGTTAAAGATACGAGGATAATTTCTCTAGTGTCTTTCTACAGCCCGTGATTTTATGTTTCCAAAATAGTCAAGATTCTATAACTAATTTTTGTTGTATTCTTTCTAAATATTACTACATTTTCTCGATGATTTATATACACTGATATTTAGCTTAGTTAACAGAGGCACGGTTAATAGAGTTTCTACTTTATTTGAAGCTGTGATCAAAGTACATGTGTTTTGGCTTATTGAAAAATTTAATTTATCAGCAACGCGCTAAATGTATCAGCACACAGTTTCGAGGTGGTAAAAGATTAACATTAGATTAATTCGAAAATCTAATGTTCTCCTATACCGCAAATCTGATTCAGTTTGAAAGACATGCAGCTGGAGGTCGAGAAACGAAATATCGAACGGAGTTAACCAAATTTCTAAACGGAAGAAAACTTAAAATAAAAACAAACAAAAAAAATGCATTTCTCTTTCTAGTTTTGCAAGATTGAGAGGGGGGAGAAAATAAATATTTTCGATTACACACTTTAATCATTATTAGACTTGATTCTTTATTGGTAAGTTAGTTGCACATACTCTTAAGGTAGTTGCGGACACTAAAAGTCTACTTTTTGGGAGAAAGAAATGTCGCCGGATCTCGTAATTGCCACGCTAAGCTGTGGTGACGAGTTATATTTTAACATATTTTTTAGTTCTGGCACAACTGTAAAAATTATTAGACTTTCGGGAGCAAGATACGGGAAATATCAACTATGCTTTCTTCGGAATTCGAACCATGGATCTTCTAGATGCCAGTTGGATGTGATAATCATTTACACCACAACGAAAAAATTCCATAATCAACGTAATCAAAATATGCATGTGGATCATCAGGCCAAAAAAGCTTAGGAAATACTTTTACATTATAAATGTACATTTGTGCTTGAGCACATAGGCGTTAATCAAACAAATGTAGCGAGAAAATAATTTTTTCTTTTAAAAACTGTCATTCAAATTCTTCCTATATTTTCAGGTTTTCTGGAGCAAGGACTTCTGGTTCGGGATTCCAATGAGCTTCTTCGAAACTACATTCATTCTCATCAGTTTAAACTAGACCTGTTAAGTGTTGTTCCTACGGATTTAGTATACCTAGTCATGGATACGAATTGTTATCTGCAGGTACCTTGTGTCATTATCTTTAGACTTAACCGCTTGCTGCGCTTCCACAGATTGCTTGAATTCTTTGACAGGACTGAAACAAGAACTAATTTTCCTTATGCTTTCCGAATAGCCAAACTCATATTTTATATTCTAGTCATCATCCATTGGAATGCATGTTTATACTTCGCTGTTAGTTATGCTATCGGATTTGGAACAGATACTTGGGTTTACAATATGTCAACTCCTCGTTTTGCATCACTCACCCACCAGTATATATACTGCTTTTATTGGTCTACATTAACTTTGACAACAATAGGAGAAATGCCATCACCAGTGAGAGACGTGGAGTATATTTTTGTCGTTGTTGATTTCTTAATCGGAGTTCTTATCTTTGCTACGATTGTAGGCAATGTAGGGAGCATGATAACCAACATGAATGTCACTCGCTCAGAATTCCAAAGAAGAATGGACGGAGTAAAACAATATCTGGAATTTCGCAAGGTCAGTAAAGAACTTGAAAATAGAGTGATTAAGTGGTTTGATTACTTATGGATCAACAGACAATCTCTAGATGAAGACGACGTTACATCCGTGCTTCCGGACAAACTTAAAGCTGAAATTGCAATCCACGTTCATATGGATACACTAAAACGAGTCAAAGTTTTTCAAGATTGTGAACCGGGACTCCTTGTACAATTAGTGCTGAAATTAAAGTTACAAGTTTTTAGTCCCGGTGACTACATATGTCGTAAAGGTGATGTTGGTAAAGAGATGTATATCGTAAAAAGGGGAAAACTTCACGTAGTTGGTGATGATGGAAAAAGAGTTCTTGCTACACTCAGTGAAGGCTGTGTTTTTGGAGAACTTAGCATCTTGAACATTTCCGGAGTAAAAACAGGAAACAGAAGAACTGCAAACGTCAGAAGCGTTGGATTTTCTGACCTATTTTGTCTTTCAAAAGAAGATCTCTGGACTGTTCTTGCAGAGTACCCCGAAGCTCAAAAAATGCTGATAGAAAGGGGTAAGCAAATACTTGTTAAAGATGGTCTTCTAGATGAAAGAGATACCCAGCGGTACGAAGCAGATGAAAAAGATCTTCATTTGAGATGCGACAAGTTACAAACAGCTCTGGACAATTTACAGACTAGATTTGCAAGGCTGTTAAATGAATATACAAGGTCTCAGAAGCAAATGAAACAAAGACTGTGCCGTTTAGAAGCAAAATCGAGCCAGCCACACGTTGACGCACATTCAGCATATGGATATGCTTCAGCATCCGTACACTCATATAATGCTGAAAGCGTAACTGAATATGCCGAAAGTTAACAAAGTAGAAAAGTTGTTTAGAATTTTAAACTGATTCCATATATTAAAGAACTAACTTTACCTACGTACCATGAAATAAGAGAATACGTGCGTATATAGTGGCATATTTTAGAAAACTTATCCGTACATGTACTTAAGTTGCATATATTTATTTAAAATGCATCTACAGTATATTATACTTGAGGATCCTTAGTTAAAAATTTAAGAACAATTTCACTATTAAATGCCCTTTTTTTAGAAAGAACTACAACTATAAATTAACATAAAACATAAATCTGCTTTCATTTACTAACATTGTTAATGCTGCACTGAAATTTTAAGTGTTTTATTAATAAATACATTATTCACCCTGAAATTAAAATATGCATACCCCGAAAGCACTAATTTAATTTTTGCAATACACACTGTTCTGAAAATCACAACTTTTCCACATCATGGTTACTTACCATTTTAGACTCATTTTTTGAACAGGATGGTTAAAATTAAATTGACCGCAGTGGAGTCGATTTCAATCACAACGCATAGATGAAACTTTGTATGTATTGTTAGATCAAAGGGAAGAATTTTCGAAAGAAAATATAATTCATTTCTTTACCACCAAGTGAAAAATTAGGATTTCAACAAGAATCATTACTCAGCAAAGCAAAATTTACAATTGCAGCATGTGTACAATACGTGAGCCACCCAAGGTTATTAAATGCAGGAAATATAAGATGGCATAAAATATGGTCGAAGTAATTCGGAGCGAATGTCCACGGCATATAGTATTATGCTGCTCGAAACAGATAGTTTCATATAAAATTTACGTTAATTCGATGGGTTTCTCTTTCTCCTTAATTTTGCAAACCCAACTCTGTATCTTAGGATATTAGTTTCTAAAAGGAAAATGGGTCGAGAATAAACTTGGTGGTGCAATAATATCATGCTGTAACGTAATCTAACTGCTGTCCCTGTACCACATGGAGAGGCGAGGAGCCCTAAATGACAGTTTTCCTTATTTACACCCCCATTAAGTAAAAAAAAAAAAAAAAAATTTATCAATCACCTTTTCTTCAGATATACTAAAACCACATGTCGTGAACAGTAATCCTCGCCAAAGTACGATAAGTTAATCTATCAATTGATAAAAGATCTTGTGCTTTTAACTGTTGACGCCTTTAGATATCGTTCAGATGCTACTGTACCAATGAACTGCAACACTTTTTACACTATGACGAACGTATGGTTAATTCATCCAGCCATTCCAGCACTTGTCGAAGAATTTAGAGTACGGGTCTTTCTATCAATCACTTCGTCAACAATTTCAGTATATAACTGGCCGTCATCCCGCTTTCTAATAAAACATCTAAACCTCCAGTATCTTCGAATCTCAGTTACCTTACTTAATTCTACGTTGGGTGCTTTCACAATAGGATATTTTCGCAGTGCAACTAAGCTATTACTGCTATTTGTAATGCTTGAACCTTGTTCAGATACTATTGTGAAATGGACTGTGATACCTTTCACACTGTGGTCAGCCCATGGTCAATTCGCGGTCACTACTGGAGCACTTAGTGCATCTCTTTTTATCAGACACTTCATCTATAAGTTTTATCATAACTGGCCGCTTTGTTTCCTAGCGCTAGAAGCTTCCGGTCTCTTCAAATTCTTTCATCATTCTTTTTAACCCTCCTTTAAAATGGATACTTTTGCCCTAAATTTTCACAATGCTGTTCAGCTATTACTGCTATTAATAAAACAATGCTGCTGACAACGGAAATTCTTTCTTGCCCAAAGGCATGACGATGACACAATGGTTTTTGTATAAAAAATGCTCACATTTTTATAACACAGAAACCCTAACTTTTAACTGTATAACGTTTCTACTGGAAAATATCATTTGGTAGATAAATCTGAAACTTTTGCTTTGTTGAATATTATATACAACAGCCGACTGTATGAAGTTGTGAACAAGGTTATTTTACTAATTCAGAAGTCAAACAACAGGTTATTTTAACTGTAACCATCCCGTAGAAAGCTTAATCCAGCCAAAGAATGTGATGAATTCTCATCAACAAATGAAAAAAATGTGGGATGAATTTTCAACAATAAATGAAAACGGTTAATCTTAAGTATGTTTCATAAAAATAAAAATTACATTTAATATTGCATTACTGTATTTAATTTTTTTAATAATCAGTTACTGCTGTTATTTCTTTTAGTATTTATGTCTATTTTGAAATTCTGATATGCATACGTAAATGTGTAATACAAGTGGTAAAATCAACAAACTTTGTAAATGGGATCCCTTCTTATGGATGATCGTAAATCATATTACAATATGGATTTCATGGCATTCATTTTTTAATCTATTACACTCTCCACTATAACTAGTCCACGGTTTATCAATTTTTAGAAATACTCATTAAAATGAAACATTAAATGCTATACTTCAAATAATATTTTTGTGATACAGTATCATCTCTACTCATTTGGTATTAAACCGGGAACATCAACATAAGCATCTTACAGAATTGTAATGTGACACTGTCAGTATTGAAAGAAAATTGTTTTCCTTCCAATTATTAAGAAATTTCTGTGTTTCAGCACATAATGTACATACATTTAAGCTCCAAGATAATATGTATAATTATTAGTTAGATAAGAAGTAGACAACTAAAAAAATAAATTAGTGCAAAATTCTGCTAAATTATAAATAAAGTTTAAATGCATTGTTTGATCCAACTATCAGTAATAAGACCCAAATTTTACCAAGTAAATTAATACATGAACTACATAAAAGAAAAAACTCTAAGAAATTAAGACATTGATGTGAAAGAAGAAATTAAAACTAAGATACTAAAACATCGATTGGAACAAGAAAGTAAACACGGGAAGCAATCATGTAAAAAATTAAACAATTATGCAAAAATTTTGTTTAATCCCCTTCCTGGAGCTTCATAACAGTGTCAAGGGAAAAGTGTTTTGAAGCTCCATACTATAATAATTATTTAATATCGTAAGATTATTATAATCAAATATATTAGAATTGATTGTACTAAGAATATAATGAAAATTATACAACGCGATATAATAATTGCGTAATTATAATAAAAATTTTTACACAATAACAACTATTTATTACAGTTTATCATTAAATTGTGTATACATAGCAAAATTATGTTTTGAAAACATTCGTATTATTACCGATATATAAATGCACAAAATTAAACACAATGTAGATAAACAGTTAATTAAATTATAAATGATCATATTTCAAATTAGATTACTTAAAACCAATTTTTGCCCTAACTGTGTGCTTTTTGAATGCTGCAAAAATGAAAGAGGGAAAATCTAAGAACGGAAAAAAAAAACCTTACTACATGATTAATCTCCATTACATAAATAAATCGGTCCGCATAATGCATGTTTACACTCATGGTCATGGCTTTGGCGATCAAGCTATAATAGTGAACTTTTAAATCGATGTTTACAATTGTTACAATGCGAAGAAAATCACTCGTTTATATCAATCAAATATAATATGAATGAAATCTCACAGCTATTCTAAATAAAAAGTTTCTAACAGTGCATAAAAGGATATTCTTAAGAGATGGACAAAACAACAGAATATCTGCAGTTCAATATCATTTAATTAAAATTTTATGTAAATCTTTAAAATACATTTATATATTTCAAAATATAAATATACTGAGTATTACAAGAAATTCATGAGACAATTATATCGTTATAGTGGTTTAAATGTTCAAATCAAATTTTTAATTCATTAGTGAGCAATTTAATTTCCTAAATTAATGAAAGATAAACATTCATAATTATTAAACAGTAATTTATTATATAATTCTAAGACTAAATTACATAAAATTTTCTAATGAATTATTTAATTACTCGTATTTGTATGAAATTTTTTTACATAGACAACACAAGAAGTTTCCCTTGTGCATTAGATTTAATAATTAATGAAAAGCTTCATCATCATTAACTGCAAGTCCCAATAAAACTTTTACCTCATCCACTTTTTAGGGACAGGCTCCCTTCAGCCACCCTCTTCATTAGTTCAATGCATGTAAGGAGAAGGGATAAATTGTACTTACCACCTTTTCATTTCTCAAAATGTTTTGGAAAATAACACTCAATTAATGTATATATTGAATTCTGATTTATTATAGTTTTCAATTTATACAAATAATTTAAGATATTTGCTTCTGTACCAATCATATTGGATGACACTGAGTATCTGATTTATTATCTCATGTGTCACAGCATAAACAACTGTTAGTAAATATTTCTCACATTCTCATTGCAACAGTCAAAGACACTAACTACATGCCCCTTTTATAACTGAATATTGTAAACCAACTAATTACAGTCAAAAGTCGTTAATTCGGACACCCATAATCCGGAATGATCTATAATCTGGACCTCAAAGCTAAAAACTTTCTGCGCATGCGCCGCGTTGGCACATGCACACAGGCGTTTTACGCGTGCGCGTAAGACCTTCGCTACTGCGCATATGCGTGTGCGCAAGTGCAGAATACGTTTTTGCCTGTGCGTTTAATGTATAACGGACGGTGTAAGCTAAAATTATCTGATTATCTATTTCAGTTAATGTTAATGATTGCGTTGTTCCTTAATCTTCGAATTGGATCCCGCTTATTATTTTTTGTAGACTGTAAGAGCAATTTTATAAAAGTAAACTTGAACTTTCGATTATGTCAAATAGAATTTCCGATGCTGGAACTTCCAAAGGATCTACAAAACGAAAGTATGTTTCGATGTCCAACAAACAAAAAGTGGAATTGCTGCAAAAAATGGATAAAGACATGAATAATGTGACAGAGAGGTTAGTGAGAACGAAAAAATTTCGATTGACAAGTTAGTCGGTATTCTCGGCACAGCAATTAACGGGACTTGAACAGCGGAACTTTGTAACTGAACAAGAAATTATGTCTGTTTATAGAATTAAAGAGAATATATTATCACATAAAACTTACATTGAAAGAACGTTTAATAAAGTAAACAAATAAATATTAAGCTTTTTTTTTGGTAAATTTTGATACCCTTTAGATCATAATTGTTCTTTATTTCATAAATTACGGTTTCATATTTTTAATTTTATAATTTCTGCATGCCATCTTACGAGATTTAAACTGATGATCTATAATCCGGAAAAATCGATAATCCGGAATCGCCGAAGTCCCGACGAGTCCGGATTAACGACTTTTGACTGTATTTCTTATTTTTAATATAAAACAACCTAACTGCCTTGAAAAGATCATCAGCTTAATTGTTACAAAGATATTATTAACTTAATTTTAAATTCTGCTTATAAAGGATGATCCAAAAGTTATTTAGATCAAACTTTCAAAAACTGTGCAAGTTCCAAAATGGATATTAATTGCAAACTATTTCAATGGATGACACCTCTATACTGTGACATACGAAATTTCATTTGTAATTTAGCTATTAACTTTAAAAACAGCTTTTGGTGAAAGACAGAAATGAGTTTTTTTCAAGAACCATTTTTATGATTGAACATTACATTACAAAGCATAAATTGGATTGTGATGACATCTTTCTGACATTTGTTGGTTATTGCAACATTTTATTCCTGATTTCGTCCAAAGTCTGAAGAAACGGGTGGCCACTTCGTTCCTTATGCTATACAGTTTTACTTTCTAAAAATCAAATTACCAAGCAGAAAGTCACTGTTAGATTCATTAACATTTGGGAAGCTCTCTTTAAATGCATCAACATTACATTCGAGGTGTGACACACACAAAAAAAAGAGACTAAGTGTGTAGCTCGAAAACAGAGTGGAGGTGGCAACAACTGTTTTGGTGACGTCATGCCACACACCTTCTCTATCCATGCAACCAGTTTCAACTTAACCGACCAAGCCAGTGGGGAAAACTGTGTCATTGAGTGAGCACGTACAACTACATTCTGCCGGAAAAATGTCCAATGTAAAAACCGAACAGCGAATCAACATCAAGTTTCTTGTGAAACTTTAAAAAATCAGCCACGGAGGAA